AATGGCCAGAGGACTCAGAGCTCCTGGAACAGCTGCAACAGGAAGCCCTAATTTTAAAATAAAGCGGATTTTACGAAACACACACAAGTCGTTTACAAACACCAACTTAAGCACCAAGGCTGCAGGACTTGGGGCTGCGCTCCACATGGTTCCTGAAAGGGAATTCGTGTAACACTGAGAAAAAGGGCTTGCTGACCGGGAGTCGTTACAGAAAAACAGCTGATTTCGGGGAAATCATTAACTATTACAACTAAAGTACATGCTATATTATGTTAACAAGTTAAACCATCGCGTTTCCACGGAAAAGCAAAGGAAGCATAGAGTGGAACACATTCGAGTCAAGACATGCGCGCCCTGGTTTACAGCGAGAAGCCACATCTAAAACCACCTTTCACTACGAGTGACTCACTTTACACAGGGCCGTCTTCATGAACTCACACCGGAAACCAAACCAGGCAGCACAGCTCATGAAACCAGCGGGTCGGGTCCCCCTTCTATGGATCAGCGACTTTCAACGGGGGGCTGTGAATGTGTCTACAACATGCAACACCTGACTAGGCAGCAACACTGACCATGTCCCTTTGACTGCCCAATGCAGCCACTGCCAATAGCTAATACAGCAGCAGCCACCAAGTGTGAAAGAAAATACCTATTGTTTTCATCATATTGGCAAAAAAATAGACTTTTTGGCGGCCACAGAATGTTAATCCTTAGTTTATGCCATGAGATGAAAGGGCTGAAAATCACTGCTATGAACAAATCGCCCTGAACAGTGTTTAATGTACACAAAGGGCCTGAAGGAAGTCTTACCACAATCTATTTGCCTTCATTCCACCACTACCATGCTCCCCAGGGGGAGGAACAAGCAACCGCCACGGTTTCAAACGGCCCGTCAGTGTTTCCTGTCCTTCACCACCCGTCTTCTACGTCCTTCTGACTTCTCGGTTCTACTTCCCAGTCTCTGCTGCTCTTTCTTCCTTAAAATACTTATTTCTTAGAGAATCTCCTTCTACCTCAGCATCTTTTATCCGCTTTTCAGAGGCCAATGAACAGGAATCCTTTATCCTTCCACACCAGCTTCTCAGTGACTATTAGTTCATAAAGATGTGAAGACATGGTCTTGTCCTCCTTCCCATGATTCAAAAAGAAATCCAACCTAAAGGAGTTAGTTTAGACAGACTGGGTAGACCTGGCCCTTAGCACTGTGGTCCCGCAGCTGCCGTTGTGTTTCTTCTTTTCTTTCCGGCCTTCTCGTGTATGTCACAGGGACGTGCTGTTACCTTTGGTTTCAGATACCTTATTCTTTTAGCCAAATTTTTATCTTTTCACTTTGGAAACTACTATGACCGCCCACTGCCAGTCTGAAGGGTTCTGTAAGATTCACCCTTTCTTAGCCTCTGGCTTTTGACTTGAAAATGCCCCCTTTCCAGCAGCTGCTGCTTGCCCTCTTGCCCCCTCTCGAGTTTGGCTCTGGCTGAGTTTATCTTACAACCTCTTGCCCACACCATGGTTTGGGATCTGCCCTTTTTTTATTTCTCCACTTTTCTTTGGATTTTACTTTTTGTCTTGGAAAATCTCTGTATACCAAAGTAGAGAGACCAGAATAATGAACTCATGTACCCATGACACTGACCTACACTTACTAACTCAGGGCCAATCTTGTGTCATCCGTGCGCCCAGTTTCACTTAAAAGCGAGTCCGAGAGAAGGACCTGAGGCTGAGCCCTTTGTGCCCAGCGTCTCCTCTCTGGACCCGCCAGCGGGCTCTTCCCAACCAGCGATGCCACCGCATCACTAACCGCGCACGTGGGAAGCACCACAGTCCTCAGGACAGACAGGCTATTGCCATGTACCGTTGAGCGGAAAGACCCCTTCACCTGATGCCCGTGTCAGTCTATAAGGAGCCATTCCGAACGCCTCACAGCAAAGGCGCTCTGAGCAGGGACCCTCCTCTGCCTGCAGCACCGTTTCCTGGATCTCCACGTGGCTGTGGCTGACGCACGTGGTCCCACTAACACTGGCACCAGCACACTTCACGGTGGGAACGACACTGTCCCATCATTGCTCGTCTCCCTGCCTCAACTGGCTGTTAGTAGAAACAGTCACCTGACACTTGTGTTAAGTTCCTTGGTATTAATGGGATCCAGTTGCCTTCTCTCTTTCTCTCTCTCTCTCACTCACTCACACTCACACACTCAGGAGAAAGAAATGCAGTATCAACTCTCAAATTCCCCTTTAACAATATAAATCTTTTTTTTTTTTTTTAGTCCACCAAAGCCACTTGACTGGCTCTTTTCTATAATAAAAAATTAAAATCAGGCCCTGACCGGTTTGGCTCAGTGGATAGAGCGTCAGCCTGCGGACTGAAGGGTCCCAGGTTCGATTCCAGTCAAGGGCATGTACCGTGGTTGCGGGCACATCCCCAGTAGGGGGTGTGCAGGAGGCAGCTGATGGGATGTTTCTCTCTCATCGATGTTTCTAACTCTCTATCCCTCTCCCTTCCTCTCTGTAAAAAGTCAATAAAATATATATATTTTTTAAAATTAAAATCAGTTTAATTCCTGGTTTCATTTTCAATTCTAAGTGATAACTCTCAGAATCTACTAAGCCAAAAAAACTTACCTGAAGAACTAGTTAGTTACCCAACTAAAAATCATCTTGCCCTGGCAGGTGTGGCTTGGTTGGTTGGAGTGTCAGTCATCCCGTGCACTAAAAGGTGTAGGGTTCGATCCCCAGTCTGGGCCTGTGAGGGAGGCAACCTATCCATGTTTTTCTCTTTCTAAAATCAATTAAAATTTTTTAATTAAAAAATCTCACCCTCGCCGGCTTGGCTCAGTGGATAGAGCATCGGCCAGTGAACTGAAGGGTCCCGGGTTCAGTTCTAGTCAAGGGCACATACTTCAGTTGCAGGCTTGATCCCTGGCCCTGGTCAGGGTGCACGTGGGAGGTAACCACTCGATGTGTAGCTCTCACATCGATGTATCGCTCTCTCTCTCCCCCTCCCTTCCACTCTAAAAAAAAAAAAATCAATGGAAAAATATCCTTGGGTGAGGATGAACAAAAAAACAAGTCTCACAAAGCTCCTAATCCTTAGCCTTTTCAGTACATCCCTGAAGCAGGACTGTCTTCTGTCTACTCCTCCCACTCAGCCACACCTGTGCACGTGGCCCCCAGTGAGAAGCTCTCTTGCTCCGCCCTTGTCTTCTTCCCCTCTCCCTGCCTCAGCCATTTACTCTTCCAACTTCCCAATCCTCCTAACACCCACCTCCAGACTCCGCCCGCTTCTCCGCCCCTCACGCGGTGCCTGCACAGCCACAGAGCTACCAGCCACCTGCCTGCTCCCGCGCAGGGCTTGCCTGAAGCCCAGGGGCTCTAGCTTCCTTCCACCGCCGCTCACACCCTGCAGTGCAGGCGAGGCTAGACCCAAGCCTCCATTCTGGCTCTGCTTTCATCTGAGCTTGTAAAGTAGTAAGAGCAACAATACGCGTGCGCACACCAATCCCACATTCTGGTAGCCAACATTAGCGGATTTCCTAGTCCAGCTGGTCGGCAAACACATTAGTCAACAGAGCCAAATATCAACAGTACAATGATTGAAGTTTCTTTTGAGAGCCAAATTTTTTAAACTTAAACTATATAGGTAGGTACATTGTTATTAACTTAATTAGGGTACTCCTAAGGCTTAGGAAGAGCCACACTCAAGGGGCCAAAGAGCCGCATGTGGCTCGCGAGCCGCAGTGTGTCAGCCTTTTGAAAAGTCTATTCCCAAGAGTTCCCTAAAAAGTACACTAGACTGAAGTCCTATCTCCTACTGTCAATCTCATGTTCAGCAAGGATCAGAAACTCCTAAATCAGTGATGGCGAACCTTTTGAGCTCGGCGTGTCAGCCTTTTGAAAAACCCTAACTTAACTCTGGTGCCGTGTCACATAAAGAAATTTTTTGATATTTGCAACCATAGTAAAACAAAAACTTGTATTTTTGATATTTATTTTATATATTTAAATGCCATTTAACAAAGAAAAATCAACCAAAAAAGTGAGTTCACGTGTCACCTCTGACACACGTGTCATAGGTTCGCCATCACTGTCCTAAATTCTTCAACCAATTTCCAAAGTCCTCTTCTTCCACCTCCCCCACTCTTCCCTTTCTTCAGAGACAGAGTGGCGAAAAGAACAGGGATTGTAAGGCCAATGACTGTTTCTGACTCCAGCTCTGTCCCTGAATGTGCGCGGCTCAATAAAAACCCCGCCAGTTCTCACGAGGATTATCACAATATCTCCATTTCCCAGACCCCAACATTCTCACTGTCCTCTGGATCCAGTCACTACAATGAATTCTAGAACTGAAGCCAGCCTGAAACCAACACTAGATGACAGGCACTGAGCACTCACTCACTATAGGCCAGGCCCTGCCCAGTTCATCAGAGGCACTAGCACACTGACCCTCACCACGGCCACAGCACCAGGGACCGCTGGCACCACGTCCGTTACAAATGTGGCGGCTGGGCCAGATCTTGGACTCAGGCGTCTGGGTGTGGAGTCCCTGCTGGAGGTAGTGACTGCGCATGTCCTCACTGCATTCATTGCCCTGGGCCTGTGGTACTCCTGAGCCCCACCCCCCTTTCCTCAGCACCCTGCCTCAGGGCAGGTGCTTTCTTCTCCTAGTACATCCTCTATCCATTATCACCTGAGATACATGCCTTGAGACTATCCTTATGGTAACTACTGAACTGAAGAGGCACTTCTCATTTTAATCCTATTTATTTCATCCCTTGATTCTTGGTGCTTTATTTTACCCATGATTTAAATGTGCACTGCTTCAAGTTCCAAGTCTTTAACTCTCTTCCTCTCTTATACTTGAGGAATCCAACACTAGACCATGAAATAATAAACAATCTGACATATTCCTATCAAATGAAGACCCTACAAAGTATAAAAAGAGCACTCAATAGTGGGAGGAATAGGCAGACTCATGTACCGCTCGTGTTAGTGTAAATTAATAGCGCCTTCTAAAGACATGTGCAGTAAGAATCTGAATCCTTGAACATTTTCCTTGACCCGTTAATTCTAATTCTAGGAATCCAGCTTAAAGAAACAGTTTGAGAGAGAACACAGTTATGTACAGGGTGTCTATCATACGCCACTTACAGTTAAAAAGTATGGAAGTATGTCCAACAAAGCTGCCCACTATCACACAATGCAGCTATTAAACTTTCATTTAAAAATTTTCTTAATGACACTTATACACAAAACTGCAAATAAGATGGTTTTAACTTTGTACAAAAGTTTGTATTTTCAGTAAAACTGTAACAGTGGTTATCTCTTATAAATTATCCAAATTACTAGAGGCTGCCATTATTTGATTTTTTAAAACTTGTCACTCACCTACTTCCAAAACTATTTTAGGGTACTTTGAGAATAAAAAGCCCAGTTATATTTAACTAGACGCAAAGCCATTAAAACAGGTAAATGATGAAGTCACGTAGTAAAGGAAGGTGAAGTCCCATGTTTTCACCACAGAACGCCTTCCTTCTTTTTCCTCAGGTGGAGAGAATAAACAAAAACATAATATATTAATGTATTCAACACAGAGCTGGAAGACACTACACAATTTATTAAGAACTGAGAAGCTTAACTCATATGCTTTCAATGCAAAAATGTAGGACACACTTGAAATGACAGGGAAAACAGTGATGAATTCCCTAGAAAAGAACCAGTGACTTCTAAGCAAATACAAACACTTGGGCCAAGGCGCAGAGCACCTTAGGGTCCAGGAAGTGGATGTTTGATATTAGCTAAGCTTTCTCGGTATTTTGCTGTTACACTGTTTCTTTAATGAGTTGCATGCGAATTTTTTAAGCTTCTCAGAAATTACGTGTAAACTCTTGACGTCATCTTCTCCTTTGTTTGATATTTTAAGAATCAAATTATGTATCTGCCAAGTCCCTAACAAAATGCCTAGGACCTACAAGATATTCAATAAATGTAATAATACAATTTCTACCGGTAAAGAACTTAAGAATCTATAGTAATAATTATAAACAAAAGTCATGTATCACTCATTGTTTCTCTCAACTTTACCTTTAAAAGCGGTACACTTGAAATAGTATTAATTTATAAGCTGAATTGAGGGAATAAAGGCTTAAACTAGATCCATAAAGTAACAGAGCTTGTCAGGAAAGAATGTTATCAAAACAAAGCATCTATTATCCTCAGGATGAACAGATGGCTTGTGCTGGATGGAGCAGAAAATTAGAACAAAGGGTCAGTTTTGTCTGAAGTCTCCAGAATTAATTTCAAATGTCAATTGCTTCTCTTGCATTAGGGTGCCTCTATTCAAGATGTATCATCACTTACATTACATTTTTACAAATGGTTAGTGCAATGTTACATATCCACAGTAAATAAATATCTATTTTCAAGAATTATTTCATTATAATACTTTTCCTTTTTTTAATTGATGGACATAAACTTAACTGTAAGAGCTTCTTTAAGACGCATAAATCTTGGTTCCATATGGATAGAAACTCTAAAGACAACCTTACAAATGTCAGAAATCAAGAATGTCCCAGGCACATCAAGTAAAAGGAAACTAAGATTTCATCTTAAGTGATGACTTCATTCATTTTACTTACAAAATAACATTTTCCTTATTTTTTCTTCATCTTGATTCCAACTCTATCAGCTGCAAATTTTTGCATTGTTTTTGTTAGGTAGGTCAAATCCATTGTCAAACAAGGTGAAGTCAAATAAATACCAAATAAATTTTATAGAAAGTTCTTTCCAGTGTAATTTTTTTAAAAGCGAGAGTATATAATACGTCCTCCTCCCATTCCATATTTTGTCTGCTAACATCTCACTGTTTCTATGCCGTGCTAATGAAAACAATCAGATTACCCCCCAAAACATGCACAAGGGGCCTGGACCTAGACTTAATTCTAGACAGCATGACATCAACTTTAAAGTGTAAAATTTTATGAAGAATTCAACAGTATTTCTCCATTAGAGCTTTTCTCCTTTTATTTGGGGAGAGCAGGTGAGGGTGTGAAAGACACCTGATATAATTTTGATATATCTTATGAAGAACACTAAGGTATTCATATGGCTTCTCACCCAAGAAAAGTAAAATGTAACACAATTTATTAAATTCTTAACGGGGGGGTGGGGGGGACTCACTGTACTTACTGGAGTTCAACAGGCACTTTCAAAGCCATTGGCAAATGGGGACAATGGTACAGACAATGGAAATCATACCTAAGAGGGATGTCTCCTTGGCAAACGCTGCGGCAATAGCTGGGTCCAGGGCAGGCTGTCCATCCCCAGACGGGAGGTCAGGTCGAGTATAATCCCTACTTTTGTCATTGTTGTATTTTACATTCAAATTCACAAGTTTGGAAAAATCAATCCTTAGAGTACAGCAAGCGTTATAAATGTTCTGACCATCTAGGGCCTGTAAGAGTGAACAAAGCACATGAGCAATGGTAAGGAGTGACAATCAGCAAAATGTCAGACTGACACCACACTGACAGCCTGCACGTAAGAGCGACCAGGAAGGGATCAAGCCTCTTCCTTCTTTCCTCGCTATGCCAGCTGAACAGGAACTAGTTTTCACAAGTACTATCTTCTTGAAAGAGAAGGTGCTGCTTAAATCTAAAATACAACCAATTAGGCACATGTACGAATACTTCTAATTTTAAAAATCTGCAAAAAATTAACAAGGGTCACAAACAGTCCTGCCAGAGCAGTGCCCCAACGGCCTGCAGCCACGATGCCCGTGTGACACCCACACTTGCTGCGGGCGGCAGTGCTTTGGTTTTATGAGGTCACTTCTGCTGATGCCACATTGAAGGGCTCAATCCAAGTAACTGTCACTGTGACGCATCTGGCAAGTCCCATGAAATGGGCAAAACACGTTCCCTTCCTTGAGGTGCGCAACCTGCATCAGAACAGCCTGTGGATGCAGCAAATCCCGCGCGGCGTGCCCAAGGGCGTGCGGAGGAGTGCGGGCTGCACAGCTGGAGGCCTGCTCTCCCTCCTTTAATTCCCTCAGTCTGACTATTTGATTGCCATGTGGTTGACTAAGGAAATGAGTGAAGCAGACGTAGGAATAGCCAGGAGTGTCCTGTTATGGACAGCTCGATGGCTACTTAAGTACACAAGGTTTGTCATTCATTCAACGACTCCCACTCTGAAAAGGACGCCTCTTCCCTTCATATACAAGATTGAGTTTATGTGAATATATTTACCAAGCTTAAACTAACCTAAAAAATAATTCAACACGTTGACCCATTTCAATACAATACTGGTGAAAACCCACTTAAAGGGACTACCCACACGTGCCTGCGCACCCACACGGATTCTAACCACATCTGAGTGGGCAGGCACCTATCCTGAGCTCTCGGCCAGCGTCATGTCAGTGTAGGGCGTGCTGTGCTGCACAGGCAAACCAGGCCCGAGGGGAGCGTGCCTCTGCTCCTGCGGCTCCCCACGGGAACGCACGGTTTTGATTCAAGACTGGCCTGCAGCACAGCAGCCTCGGCGGAGACTTGGGCGACGCCCGCAGTGCCCTGCCCCGACCTGCCTCACCCCTCCACCAGTCATCTCTTTTTCTGAGTCGTTATTCTCTTAGACAGCAAAATTCTGCATTTACTGGCAGTGTTCAAAAACCCCCAACCAACCAAACCCAGCGTACAGGGCTCCCAACCCAAAGATGGCTCACAGAACACTGCGCTCTCCCCCCCAAACCGGAAGGTACACTGCCTGCTACATGGATTCGTGCTCGAGAGAGAGGCTTTCATCTCCTTCTCACCTGAAAAATTATCGGAGTCTCTTCCCAACCCTGGTTCCTTGCCTGTTAATTTTATGTGACCTCTAGTGTTTAACAAGCATGGAAGCACAGCAACTAAATGAGCAAGGTTAGAACCAACCCTGTATACACTGGGATGCACACGGAGGGCTGAGGCGGACGAGAGCTGTGGCGCCATCAGGTGTGGGGAAGCTGTGACAGGCGGAGCGAGTCCCAGAACCCACATCAGTGCCAGTTCTACGAATGCAGCAGAGAACACAGCAGACGTGGGACCCATCACCACCCCACAGACGCAGTCTGCGCCACCTGTAACGCTGCACGCACGGCGCAGCTGAGCTACATCAGCATTAACAGGGCTAAACGTGCAAGTGTGTATCTGCCTAGGAAAAAGATCACATCTCAAAACAGCTCTACACTTACTAGTTTTGCTTGTTGAGCATTTACTGGATCGCCATATTGGAGGAGAGCTTGAAACTGGTTGTTTTTTGTAAATGTGATTATCTTCAATACAGCACCAAACTTAGTAAATATCTGGTAAAACATCAAAAGGAAAACATTATCTACTATCTTATGACTTCTCCAATCTATTGGCTGACATGCGAATTCAGACACACGTACCTGGTGAAGCACGTCCAGGGTCACGGGGTAGTACATGTTGTCGATGATGATTCTGAGCACCGGGCTCTGGGCGGGGGTCACAGCGCTCTCGCTCACGGCGGTGCCGCTGAGAGGCGTGTTTGCCGTCTGCACGGCCGTCACGGCCTGGAGAACAGCTTGGGCACGCTGCAAGGCAAAGACCAGGACTTTGCAAGCACACGCAGTATTTTCACTAACATTTTGCTACATGTTACACTATCAGCTCATTTCTTTTCTAAAATACATATAAATAAAATTTAACACTCAAATGAGCCTTTTGCGCCAGGCATTGTGTTAATTCAAATAGTCTAGCATTTACTTCAAAATAATCATCTAGCATTGGGACCAATGCTGAACAAGCCAAGATAGGCAATGTGGTTTACTCCCAAAGAACATTAAGATGGAAGTGTTAGAGAACAATAACATTTCAATCTAACAGTATTCACTCTATAAAAAGGCAAATGGCAGACCTCAAAAAGGATTACTCTACTAGCCAAAAGATTTCCCATAGTCTTATTTCTAATACAATCTTAAAATAAGAATATTCACAATACAATTTAAGTCTTTTTTCATACTAGTGTAACATCTGACATCAAAGTTTTTAGAAAACTGTTGTGCACTTTAGTTTAAAACCATTAGATTTTCAGGAACACTTCAAGATAAAATATGAAAGACATTTCCCATATAATGTTATGGTATTTAATACACTATTATTTTATGTTTGACTAATAAGACATTGCTAATAAACCATGACACTGAATACTGTAACAAACATCTTGATTTCTGAGATTTTAAAATGTGAAAAAATATATATACATACAGAATTGAAGTACAGTATTTTTTGGAAATCTGTCAACTAAATCATATGTTAAATGCTCCAAAATGACTACCTTTACTACAACTATTATGCTATTCCTATTATTACTATGACAGATTCACTGATAAGAGAATTTCTTTCTACCTTATCTGGGGTCAAAAAATCATTATTAAGGAAATAATTGTTAAATGTAACAATGAAATACTCTACATTGCTTCACCGTTTAAAAAGCTGTACTGGCAGATGAGAAGGAATATAGAAGGGAACAGTGATGAGGAAAAGGAGAACACAAAAGAAAACATTAAGAGAATAGACAAGAGTCAGTGCTAGCTTTGGAGGTATATCAATTAAAATCAGAATAGAGATTAGCATGGCCGCTTTGCAAAGATGACATACAAATTCGTAGAGTGTTCCTTTTTTTTCCTTGAGATGTTAGCTACACTATGGTGGTAATCACTGCACAATATATACATGTATCAAATCACCTTGTTATATGTCAATTACATCTCAATAAAGCTGAAGGAGAGAAATGTCCATTTCACTGAAATACTACATAACCAAGGATTATGTATAGCTTTAAAATGCTGATTAAGTGAACCTATAAATGTGTTAGCTAAAGAGACTAACTGAAATACAAATTATAAAAAGTCCAACAACCAAAGGCATTTAACTGATAAAATCCAAGCAGTAGAGTTGTGTAAATAGCTAGCAGTCCTACCGCATAAACAGTTTCTATATAAAATTTTAACTTGTAACAAGAATATTTTGACCAGGTCCTTAAAAACATTGAAAAAATACTATTTAACTAATTTACACAGTACTAATTTAAAATATGAAGAGATCAACATACTTTTTTTTGTAAATAAACATAATATTTAAGAACATACTGCAAGAAAATGTCATAAAAAAAATAACGATGCCCACGGAAACAGCTTCAGAATGGTTAAAAACTGTATTTTCTGTTAATATGCGATTCCTACTATGCTGTCGGCCATTTCATTCATGTGCCTACACACACTCACTTGGTTCAGGGTGTTGTCTGTTTTCAGTTCCTTGTGGTTCGAGTACTGGATGTAAATGGGCTGGTTGCGAAGGTGAGGGGTCACAGCAGAATAGTAATTCACCATGGTAACAGCAGCTTCCTCTGTCGCTAGTTCCAAAAATGCCTAAAGATTTAAATGCAAAAATATTTCATGCTATGAATTAAATTCAAATAAGCTTTAATATCTGTCTAATCTATTCAGCTAATAAGAAAATCAGTAACTAGAATATAACCTTTCCAGTGACTTTAGCTGCTCTCATAAGCAGAAGTGGAAATCCTCTCCTGAAGGTTAGGCACACAAAACTCTGTGTACACGGTACTTCCATCTTCCACCTGATTTCCGAAACTTCACAAATGTACTTACTTCCCCAATAAACGCTAGAGAAGCCCTAACCGGTTTGGCTCAGTGGATAGAGCGTCGGCCTGCGGACCAAAGGGTTCCGAGTTCGATTCCAGTCAAGTGCATGTATCTTGGTTGCAGACTCCTCCCCAGCCCGGGCCCTGGTCAGGGCGTGTGCAGGAGGCAACCAATAGATGTGTCTCTCTCACATCAATGTTTCTGTCTGTCTTTCCCTTTCTCTTCCACTCTCCCTAAAAATCAGTGGAAAAATATCCTCGAGTGAGGATAAACAAAAAATATAAAATGAAATGAAATAAAAACTAGAGAAAAATAAAGCTAAGTTTTTTCTAGCATCAGGATTTTACCACTCCTAACCTAGAGAATAAAAGAGATCTCAAAGTCATTTTTAAAGCAGTATGATTTAAGAGACAAAAGAAAGTTAAAAATTAAATGTCAGCTTATTAGTAGTAGCATTAATATTTAAGGGAATGTTAAATTTCATAAGTGCTTCTAAATGGTATTAGAATTTTAAAACAAAATGATTTTTAATATACCTGGACCCTACTGCAACGGGCACGTCTACTCAGTGAATATCTAGGATTAATGACTATTTTCTTCTAATGCTATCAGGTAGGTATTTCCAGGGAATAAGCTTAAAGCCAAGATACGACTAGTGCCCCTTACTGCCAACATTACAAAGGGCAGAGATACAAGAAAGTCCTCCATCTGTGTTTCCACAATCTCACTGTAACGAGTGCTCAATCTGTCTGAGTGCACGCACGCCAGGTGCTCCTTTCGCCCTGGGCGTGAGTTCCCTGAGCACCCCCACCAGGAAGAGCCCCGCTTCTGCTCCGCCCTCTGCCCTCCCTCGATCAGGAGAAAGGCTGGCGCACACCTGCGGACTGGTTGGGCGGCCAGCTGTAGGCTCTGAAAGGCGTACCTGGTTTTTCCCTTTCAGCATAAGGATGTTGGTCACCTTCCCAAAAGGTAAGCCGAGAGCAATGACCTCGGTTTCTGTCACCTCACCAGGCAGTTTTCGAATATGAAGAACACGAGAAGGAGCCCCATCCATTTTATCTTCTCCTTTAAACTTTTTACTGTCATTACCATTGGCTGAAAGACATTAGACAATAGTCTTCATATTAATTTTCCTTATCTGCATTAAAAAATACAAAGCAATGTTTATGAAAGAACCTAAAAACACAGCGGAGTATACTGGAATAATTCCTAAAAATTCAAAAACTGGGGTTTCAAAGAAACAGAGAGAATCCTATCTACCAATTAATTAAGATTGCTACTAGGTAAATGTTTCTAAACAGTATATGTAAAAAATAGTGATAATGTAAGCTCATAAACAGATTGTCCAATGGCTAAAGAACATAATTATCTTGCAATTTAATTATATTACAGACTAACAGAAATTTTTTAAAATGTAAAAATTTGAGTTGGCAAATATTAGGAAAAATATAATTTCACCTGAAAATTATAAATTGTTCAATTTGGGAAATATCATATTCCACAGGGGGATCAAAGAAAGCAATGCTGTAAAAATAATTATGTAGTCAGTCCACATGGTGCTTACCTCCCATGAGCCTCTGCTAACTTAATATTACCACCTGATCTCCCTCAATATCTTATCGCTGTCAACATCTATATACTATACATCATTCATGGACTTGACTGCCTTATCACTGAGCTAAGAAAAATGAATGCTCACACTCTACATTCCTGTATGGGAAAACAGAAATCCTAAAGAGTTAACCAGAAGCGAAGATATATAACAGACGGTACTTCCGTTATCCTGCTAGCTCTTTCGTTAACTCCAACAGCCAGTACACATTTTACTAGGTTTACTGTAAAATCTGCTGTCACTTGCATTTCCAAGTAGTTGCATAGCCTAGCTGTCTGAGTGCCTAATGCACGAGGTGGAAAACACAGAAGGCTAAGTTAGAGGAAGGCAGGTTTGGAAGAGGACATGTTGCCTAGAACCCCCCACAAACATTCAAACTGTGACACCATGTACTGGACACGTTAAGCATTATAAAAAGAAATGACATCAAAATTGTCTGCATATAAAAATTAAAATAAAAATCTCAGAGTTCTGAGTAACATGTACTAGAATTTGAGATGATTTCAGTTTCAGAATAAGGCCAAACGTCACACTTTTAACGGTAATAAATCCTGCTATTATGAAATAACAACATGCAGCACTGGCAGAAATATGTCTCCCCAACTGAAAGGAATATTCCACTTCCACAGCCTGAAGAAATGACTCAAGAGAGAGCAATTTGACAATTGTCAAGCCTCTGCCCAACAACCAAATAGTTACAAATGTCTCTCAATAAAATCCAATTCCAGGACTAGCTGGAGCTAGCTGTACTTTGAAATGTTTCACTTTTATTTCTGAAAAAACTAATTTGTTACAAAATGAGTTAACATTAACTTTTCTCACTTCTAAAATTATTTTATTTTCCGACGTAAAGAAATCAGTAGAAAAGCTTCTGGACAGAGAAAGGCTGTTGAGATAGACTCGTTGGAAACAGAATCTATAGTAACGTGAGTCAGGAGAAACATCCTGTTCAAGCTGAAATGTAAGAATGAAAACCTGCTCTGCATCTGCTAACCATAGAAGGCTCCCTATAATCCTGTCTGTGGAAGTGCTGTTGAGACAGCTGAACAATGGTGTATTTTTCCAGGCGAGCATAATCACTAGCTTTTAAAGGTTTCTTTAAGTTCTTAAAAGCAACAGTATTCAAATTTGGGCCTGTTAGAACATACACAGACGCTCATCTTTCTATGTTAGAAAAAAAAAATCTTAAAGCTCGATGTTCTCTGTGCATAAAGGTAAAGGAAGTTAGTTTTCCTTAACTCCAGGGAAAACGTGCATGTAATTTTCTCATGTTAAACAAGGCTTTAAGGGATTCACTCCATCACGAGAGATGGGTTCATTCTTTATAGCAGCGGTCGCCAACCCCTCGGACCTCACGGACCACCAGTGGTCGGCAACCGCTGCTTTAGAAAGTGCATTAAGTATCATTCCTTGGCATAATTTAAAAAAGGAGTACAGCAACAGATTATTCTTTCTTTTCAACCAAAAACCAATCTCCCTTTCCACTTCATCCCTTTGTTAATGGGGCTCTATCACCCACTGACCCAGTGATTCTAACATTAATATGTATCTCTCCCAAACCAGTGTACTTCTCAATAACTCAGATGTTCTGACTTCTTTATACAGTTTCCTCCATATTCTGAGACCCTAACATCTCTAGAGTAGTGTAGTTTTTAAGTGTCTTCCCTATGTATAGTATAGCAGTCAGCCCCTCTACCCCTACCTACAAAATAGCAAATGGAACAAAAATCTTTTCTAAAATGTAAATCGGGTCAAGTCCAAGCTCCTTAGTACTTTACGACAGATCAGATCCTGTATCTAGCCCACTGCCTACAAGGACCCGCTGTCAGCCCTTCGCCTACTTTACATTCCAGCAAGACAAGGCTATGAGTAGCTGACGGTTCCCAGAGGTAGTCTATTTCCAATACATTTTGAATTTGTTTTACAACTTTGTTAATTGATATAGAACACGTCCATCACCACAGAAAATCCCCCGTTCTTCCTTTCTGTTATCCCCACTACCCATAGGCAACTATTGTTTAGGTTTCTTTACTAAAAATCAATTATGTTCTTTGCCTTTATAGAAAAGGAATCATACAATATGTACTCTTTTCTGTCTGGCTCCTTTTGCTTCCTATAATGTTTACTAATATTCACTCACATTGTTGCATTAGTATGAAGTCTTGATTCCCATCTGTTAGGTATTGTCAGTTACAGTAGCTTCATAAAGTTAATTAGGGGGTATCCCCTCCTCTATTTTCTAAAGAAGTATATTTAAGATGATTATTTCTTACTTTGAAGTTCATAAAATTCAACAGTGAAGCCACCTATACTTCCGTGGAAAGATTAAAAATTCAGTTATGATACAGAATTAATCTATACCCGTGGTCGGCAAACCGCGGCTCGCAGCCACATGCGGCTCTTTGGCCCCTTGAGTGTGGCTCTTCCACAAAATACCACGTGCAGGCGCACACATACAGTGCGATTGAAACTTCGTGGCCCATGCGCAGAAATCGGTATTTTGTGGAAGAGCCACACTCAAGGGGCCAAAGAGCAGCATGTGGCTTGCGAGCTGTGGTTGGCCAAGCCGCAGTTTGCCGACCACTGATCTATACCTATTATGAAATGGCAGATTATGTCAGTTTTGGTAAATCAGAGTTTAAAGGAATTTGTCTCATCTAACTTGTTTATTGGCATTACCAGTGTTTATAATCTGTTCCTTCTACACTGTGTGGGATCTGTAGTAACATCTTCACGTTCATTCCCAATATTGGCAATTTATGCTTTCTTCCATTTCTTGAAAAAAACTGTAAACCTTTTTTCCCCCCTAATATGGTTCTTTTCTAATATAGGTAGACAGGTATCTATTAAGAGGTATAGACCTATTTTTTCGCCCTGTGCACTTCTTGGGCTGCATCCAACAAATTTTGGTACATTATGTTTTCATTTTCATTCAGTCAGAAATATGCCTTTAAAACTTCTTTGATTCATGTGCTCTTAGAATTGTGTAAATTTATAAATATTTGGTAACTTCCTAGATTTCTTAATGTTTTTAATTTCTATTAAATTCCCCTATAATCAGGTACTATATGAGCTTTCAAATATTTCAAATTTATTGAGAATTACTTTATGTTAACATTTATGGCCTATCATGGTGAATATCCTATGTATATTTGAAAACTTATCCTATAATAAAAGCCTAATATGCTAAGTGTCCGGTCTTCTGGCTGGCTATTCAAAGCATAATATGCTAATGATATACTAAGGACACTCAACCACTCGCTATGATGTGCACTGACCACCAGGGGGCAGATGCTCTGACCAGTAGGTTAGCTTGCTGCTGTGGTCTGGCCGATCGGGACTGAGCGAGACAGGCTGGACATGCCCTGGAGCCCTCCTGCGGTCCCTCCCCCCTGGCCAACCTCCCGCATCCCTCCCCAGCCCTGATCATGCACCGGTGGGGTCCCTCGGTCTGGTCTGTGCCCTCTCTCAATCCAGGCTGAGAGGACTCCCCCCATCCCCGAGTGCACGAATTTCGTGCACCGGGCCTCTAGTACCATATAAACAGAAAAGGTTTTTTGTGTGGACAAATTCAGCTTCACAACACTAGGACTATATTGGGTAAATACTTAATTGTAATTTTTACTTAACTAAATGGTCAGGAATGTGTTTGTGTGCACTGAGGTAGAGGCCAACCTCAGAGATAATCGCAGTAAGGCAAGAATCGCATAGGTGACTCACAATTTCTTTTGCTGGTGTAAGGTCTTGCCTTCAATTTGTAAAAAATGTAACATCTGTGAAGTGCAATAAAATCAGGCCTGCCTGTATATTACAAGCAACCACTACCTGAAGGAAATCAGTATGTGTGCAGTCTTTCACAATCCTTTTACTGCCAACACATTTAATTCCTCAAACAATTCAGGAAAGTTTTAGAAAAAAGGAACTTTGGTCTTCAGTAAAAAATGTTAAAATGTAGGGTTATAAGGCAAACTAAATCAATCACCATCATCATCAGATTAAAATTTTGGTCTCAGCCATAAAAGTAAGGTATAAAAATTAGTCTACATTTGTTTACAGACAAAAGCCCACAGTGTTGTTTCAGACATATACAATTTTTTTAAATCCTAACTATAAAAGTAAATTATTTTAAATTTCCAAGTAGATAATATAACAAACATCAATTCAAAGAATTAAAATATTGTTACAGCAAAGAAAAAAAGTTGAAAGCATAGAATAAATACAACTATGTAGTTGAAATTTTGGGTTTTATCTATAGTTTGGGCTTTATGAACTAGAGAATTAAAAATACTTTATGACACACAAAACACAAAAGCTAAAAACAGAAGTATAGAATGGGTGAGAATTAGGAAACTTGTAACATGAACAAAAAATATATAATATTTTTGTGATTTAAAAAAGCAATCAGTTACCTGCCCTCAGAAGTCACCATCTTCAGATTTCCTCACTTAACACATATATACCCTAATAAAATGTCCTCTAAAATGTCAACAGAAAGCATTTAAAAAGTCTATTCTGATAAAAACAGACTAAATTTTAGTTTTAATATCCTGCTCTATAAAATGGCAAAAATGACTGTTAAAGAGAGTTAAGACTTACCTGTAACCACCATGCTGCTCATATTAGAGTTTGGACTACTGAGAACACTACCTGAGAGTAGTTCGTCAGATCCTCTCTATAAAAACAAAAAGCAACATAAGACATCTTTAAATTTAGAAATACTAATCTGAAATTTCTTCACGTATCTTTAACTCTTCAAATAGCCACTAACAAAGTGTCAGGTGCTAACACTACGGGAACAGTCAAAAACTTTAGTCCCTAAAATAAAAACTTGACGCAAGTAAGGCTCTTGCTCCCTTTCCCACAAAGCCAAGAGTTTCTTTTTCTCCCTTTCATCCAAGTCCAAAGACAATAGGAAAAATGACTGGTTCCCTAATCAAAAGCTTCGGAGAACTACGCCAATTTTTTTATAAACCACCTACTGCTACAGCAAGCTGGACTTTTTCACAAATACTCTATGAATCCTCCGACCCCACAGCACTTTATTCACCCAGAACAACTCAGGTCTTTAGAAAATGAGAACTTCATCCTGTAGAGCTGGACAGCTTATCATCATTATTAAAATTAATTATGCATATATTTCAGTAGCTAAAACACCGAAAGCAAAATCCACAGAATGAGAAATTTATTTCTGCCTATATAAGCAGAAACTGAGTCATGTCTTCAAATCGTTTAGAGCAAGCATGTCAAACTTGTGACCCACAACAAATATTTTTGCAGCCCAGCCAATGTAATGGTATATGAGAAACGTTTTAATAAAAATTTTGTGACTTAATTTTTATAATATCCTGTTATACATAATTAATAACGAACTACAACGTTTGCTAATGACTGATTACTATAATCATGTTGCATTCATTTCCCTTACACGCCTTACTCGCAGGCACACCATTTCTCCCCACTAATACTAGCAGCGAATATTTTAGCAGCCGATGGCCACGTCATTAGTCTTGGACTGACTTGTGTGGTGTGCGCAATAGGAAATATTTCACTTTTGGAGAACAAGAAAAATAGGATTATTTGCATGATGCTTATTAATTTGTGCAGTTATTCAGTGTCTGCTAAGTTAATGTTCAAGAAAAAAATATTAATTTTTATTAAAATGTTCTATTATTTTATGTTAACAATTACTCATTTATTTCAGCCATTTGTATTCAGCATGTCTCTATCAAAATAAACCTACGTTTCTATGAAAATTGAAGCTTTTGTTTTTTTGCGGCCCACATAAACTTAAACCTTGTTTATTTGACCTGTGTTAGCCTTTGAGTTTGACATGCTTGCTTTAGAGAAAAGGTTATAAATTCACATGTTCTCAGAAATGCAGTTGTTCAAATAAACCATGTTGATTTAGCTATTTTAAAAATGTGCATTTATAAAAAATATGTGAATAGATTAGCATTAAAATAGCTAAACCAACTGTTTTGCCCATTTTAAGTAGGTATATATTTACATACATGGGTATTATTATTTCAAATCACTAAATCAACAGAAACTGATTTAAACCACGAGTACAAAGAAGTTCAATGCAACTATCAAAATGAAAAAAAAGGTATGAAGGACATATCAAAGCATTTCAGAAAATCCAAAACAATACAAATTAATCAAAACTTTATGCTAATTTGTGTTCAAACTCATAAGTTGCGTTATAACAAATATCAAAATCGTAAAGAAATAATCATCTCCCTAATTGCTTTACAAGCTCAGAGAAATAAAAGCATAACAAAAATGAAAACATTATCTTGAGCCTGGTTAACACCATTTACACATCATTATAATTTCTCATCAAGGTATGGAAGAGTCAACATGGCATCGTTTTATATGATGGAAATGATGAACACAAGCAGACACCTCAAGCATCATCATAACCAAGGTCATCTAGACTCTCCAAGTGTGGCCCCTAGACAACAATTAGACCTGGAACCGTGTCAGCAATCCATGCTCTCACGTCCACCCTGGACCTACTGAATGAAAACTGAGGTGGGACCCGGAGTTCCAGCGAGCCCTCCAAGTGCTTCTGACGCATGCTCAAACTGAACAACCTCCATGTTAAATGTTCACTAGTTTTCTTTTTTTTAGAAGTTTTAGGTTTACAATAAAATGGAAAGGAACAGGTTTCCCATAAAACCCCTAACTCCACACATGCACAGCTTCCTCCATTACAATACCCCCTACTAGAGTGGTTTATTATGAAGATGAACCTACACTGAAACATCACAATTACTCAAAGTCCATAGCAAATGGGCTCCCATAAAAACCTGGGCTCTGCTTATCTATCCCACCTCCAACCCCTGGCAATCACTGACCTTTTTATTGTCTCAGAAAGTCATATGGTTGGAATCATATACTATGTAGCCTTCTCAAATTGATTTCTTCCACTTAGTAATATGCACTTAAGGCAGTGGTTCTCAACCTTCTGGCCCTTTAAATACAGATCCTCATGTTGTGACCCAACCATAAAATTATTTTCGTTGCTACTTCATAACTGTAATGTTGCTGTTATGAATCGTCATGTAAATATCTGATATGCAGGATGGTCTTAGGCGACCCCTGTGAAAGGGTCGTTCGACCGCCAAAGGGGTCGCGACCCACAGGTTGAGAACCGCTGATTCCCCGTACCTTTTTGATGGCTTGGCAGTTCATTTTATTTGAATGCTGAAAAATATTCCATTGTCTGGATGCACCTATTTATTTGTCCATTCACTTACTGAGGGGCTTCTTGATTCCTTCAAGTTTTTGGCAATTAAGAACAAAGCTGCTATAAGCAGCCATATGCAGATTTCACGTGTAAGTTTTCAACTCCTTTGATGGACACATGGTAAAAGTTTGTTTAGTTTTGTAAGAACTGCCAGACTGTTTTGTAGTGGCTGAACCATCTTCCATTCCCACTGGGGATGCATGTGCATTCCGGTTGCTCCCCATCTCACCAGCATTTACGGTGGCCAGTGTTCCACAATTTGGCTGTTCTGATAGGTTGTGTAGCAGTATCACATTGTTGCTTTACAGTTTGCACTCCCTGATGACATAATAAGGAACATCTTTACATATGCTTATTTGCCATCTGTATGTCTTCTTTGCTGAGGTGTCTGTTAAGGTCTTTGGCCCATTTTAAAAACAGGTTGTTTTCTTATTGAGTTTAAGAGTTGTTGTTTTTTTATATTTTGGATCTCTCCGAGTCTGGCTTATCTTCTAATTCTCTTGATACTGTCTTTCACATAACAGAACTTTTTTATTTTAATGAAATCCAACTTTTCAATGATCTCTTCATGGATTGTGTCTTTGGTGTTGTATCTAAAAGGCATCATCATAACCAAGGTCATCTAGACTTTCTCCTATGTTATCTTGTAAGAGTTTTCTAATATTGTGTTTTACATTTAGGTCTAAGATACATTTTGAGTCAATTCTTATGATGGGTGTAACGTGTGTGTGTATTTGCATTGTTTTGCATGTGATGTCGTTGTTCCAGCACCGTTTGCTGAAGAGACTGTCTTCGCTCTCCACTGTCAGAGATAAGCGGATGGTATTGATGGGGGCTCTATTCTGGGCTCTCCGTTCTGTCCCATTTGATCTATTGTCCACTCTTTAATCCAAACCACACTGTCTCCATTCCTGTAGCTTCAGAGTAAGCTGGGTAGCATCAGTCCTCCAACTGTGTTTTTCTTCAATACTGTGCTGGCTATTCTGGGCCTTTTGCCTCCACATAAACTTTAGAATCACTTTGTTATCCACAAAATAAATGGTTGGAATTTTTATGAAATGTATAGATCAAGCTGGGAAGAACTGACATCTCAACAATACTGAGTCTTCCTATCCATGAACATGGAATACCTATCCATTTACTTGATTCTTTGGTTTCATGCATCAGTTCTGCAGTTCTATGTATATCTTGTTAGATTTTTTAACTAAAAGTATTTCAATATTTTGAGACTAATGTAAATGGTATTTTGTTTTTAATTTCAAATTGAACTTGTTCATTATTGATATGCAGGACAGCAATTGGCCTTTGCATATTAATTTTATATCCTGCAACCTTGCAATAATTGTTTATTAGTTTGAGGAGATTTTGAATTTTCTATAGTTTCTCAAGTCATCTGTGAATGACAGTTTTATACCTTTCTTCTCAATATGCATACTGGTTACTTCTTTTTATTGCCTTATTCAGCAGTGGTCGGCAAACTGCGGCTCGCGAGCCAAATGCGGCTCTTTGGCCCCTTGAGTGTGGCTCTTCCACAAAATACCAACTTCTGCGCATGGGCCACGAAGTTTCAATCGCACTGTACGTGCGCACCCGCACGTGATATTTTGTGGAAGAGCCACGCTCAAGGGGCCAAAGAGCCGCATGTGGCTCGCGAGCCGCAGTTTGCTGGCCACTGCCTTATTGCATTGGCAAGGACTTCCAGGATGTTGAAAACCAGTGGTGAGAAGGCACATCCTTGCCATGTATATGATCTTAGTGACAAAACTTGAGTTTCTAAGTATGAGCTTAGCTATAGCTTTTTTGATGTCCTTTATCAAGTTGAGGAAATTCCCCTCTATTCCTAGTTTACTGTGAGTTTTTATCATAAATGGGTGTTCGGTTCTGTCAAATGCTTTTTCTCCTTCTAGTGATGCAATCATGAGGTTTTTCTTTTTTTAGAGTCTGTTGATGTGATAGATTAATAACTATTTTTATGACAAGTATGGCATTAGGTAAATAAAAAAAAGTAAGGGCTCTGTAATCCAGCTTCCACCTCCTCTGTAACTGGTAAACTACTGAACTATTCTCAGCCTTAGCTTTCTCATTTGTATAATAAGGATGACATCAACATCACAGTGCTTGGGATTCAATGTGATAACACAGGCATCCCTCAGAGACATTGTGGGTTCTGTTCCAGACCATCGCAATAAAGGAGTGTGGCAATAAAATGAGTCACACAGCTTTTTTGGTTTCCTAGTGCAAATAAAAGTTATATTTATACCATACTACAGTCTACTAAGTGTGCACTAGCATTGTCTAAAAATACAATGCACATACCTTAATTTAAGAATACTGCTAAAAATTGCTAACCATCATCTGAGCCTTTAGCATAAAAACAGACACATAAATCATTGGAACAGAAGAGAGCCCAGAAATAAACAGAGGAACTGAATAGACATTTTA